GCAAATCATCACAGTTGTTAAACAAAGCATGCTATTGTTTAAGTGACTTCAGCTTCGCTATTAACTTTATTGTTGAAACCTGGCTGGGAAAGTTGCAAATGCCAATCACATCATCCTAGGATGCTACAGCCATCATAAATAACGCCAGTTGCCAAGTGTGACTGTGGCACAGTGATAAGTTTGCGGATTGGGTTTAACTCAGGAGTGAAATGTTACCGGTTCTGGCGAACTGGTGGTTACTACAATCAGCTGTGTGACAATCAGCGGCACAGGTTATTGCCACACAGCTGATTGTCAGAACTACTGTTCCCCCGAACTGGTAGAGTTTTTTTTTAATACCAGTTACCATGATCAGCTGTGCGACAATCAGCTGTGTTGCGCGATTTATATTTGCTAGAAAGCAGGAAATCTTGCTTTCTACCAAATATAAATCACGCAGCACAGCTGTCCCCCCTGTTCTACTTACCTTTGTAGACTCAGAAAAGGCTTTTTAATCTTCCTTTTTCAGTGCCGCGCGATAGCGCCTGTGGTGTGCATGTGCGCGAAGCGAACCGGTAGCAAAGCAAACCGGTAGCAAAGCAAACCGGTAGCAAAGCAAACCGGTAGCAAAGCAAACTGGTAGCAAAGCGAACCGGTAGCAAAGCGAACCTGTAGCAAAGCAAACCGGTAGCAAAGCGAACTGGTAGCAAAGCGAACCAGTAGCAGATTTCAAAGCATTTCACCTCTGGCGTAACTCAGGTTTTTTCAGTGCCACTGTAACTTTGAATGATTACTAAGTGAATGGTTGTAAATTGAAGACTACCTATACAGGTAGTCCTTGACTTACGACCACAATTGAGCCCAAAATTGTTACCAAGTGAAACATTTGTGAATTCTGCCCCATTTTGCAATCTTTCGTGCCACAGTTGTTTAAGTGGATCACTGTTGCTTTTACGTTAGTAACATGGTTATTTAAATAAATCTGGTTTCCCCACTGCTTGTAAGAAGATCACAAATTCACGTGAAATCATCATAATATACAAGTCAATTGCCAAGTCTTGTCAAGTCTGAATTTTGATGCAGGGCTATGTGGATACTGCAAGGCTCCTGAGTTGAAAAACGGTCCTAACTCATTTTTTTAGTGCTGTTGTGACTTTGAACAGTCACTAAATGAGCTGTTGTAAGTCGAGGACTACATGTACTGTATAGCCTCTGTTTTGGTTTGCTCTTCTTTTGTATGTGGAAAAATCAGGGAGAAAATCTATCCATGTAAGTTGCTAAGCATTGACAATGACTAGATGGCACATATTCAATCAATCAATGCCACCAGGCACTGCCCACCATCTGCCAATAGAATAATGAAAGGGAGACAGGGCGGGAGCAGAGCTTGGGCAAGCGATGAGTTTTGACAGATGACAGTGCCTATCCTGAGCCATCCAACAGGAGACTAAACCTGTCAGTCAAGGAAAAGACCTGGAAAAAAAGAGATGGAAGCTCCCATAAAGCCTGACCAAATAGCTGAGGTTCTTGCATAATAAAGTGGGACAGCTGGCTCTCTCTCCTAACCTGGCATCACCACCTCTCTCTCACTTAACCATCCAAAGCAAGTCAGCTTGGTTTGATATCAAGCTTTTTCAAAAATCTAGTTTTTCCTAGGCATAGAAGCAACCCACAGCTGTGTCCAACTCTTTCAGAAAGAAGGTGCTTTTCCCACCCTCTGCAAATCATCATATTGCAATGAAAGAACATGGAAATTTTCCACGTCCTAAAATGACTTTAAGGGAGAAATATTGATTGATTGATTGATGCTTTAAAACCAGCACTGATGCCTGGCAAATTGCCTGGAGAAGTCTGCCTTAACCACTACCAAACCGGCTCTTTAAGGCAGGGTTTTGCAACCTTGCCCAGATGCATCCTGGCTAGGGAATTCTGGGAATTGGAAGTCCACACATCACAAAGTTACCAAGGTTGGGAAACCCTGCTCTAGGTGAAAAAACAAAACACTTCAAAATAAAACAATTTAAGATCATTTAAGCCGGGCACATCAGTGGGCTCAGGCTGAGATACATTCATGCCATATTTGTGCTGCATTTATGTGCAAGTGACGTTTCCGCTCTAAAACTCAGCTCTCTGGATTCCCTTTGTCCAGCCCTCACCTGGTGCAAACTTTGTGCGTCGGTGAAAAAAACTGAATTTTTGTGAGGGTGAAGTAGTTTGTAGAGAAGAATGGTTGGCCACTATTCTAACTTGTGCAGACGAATATTGAGAAATACAGCTATTCTTCTTTAAACCTTGCAAATAGAAATTTCACATAAGGAAAAGGGTGGGTCTGGGAGGTTTTTGTTTTTGTTTTTTTGGTTGAAGGAACAAGTTTTACAAGACTGAACATACCGCAAAGAGCAGTATCTGAGAACACATTGGTAACCACTGACGGACAACCCCCTATTGCTTAACTTTCTGAACAACTGGTAATCCTTGACCTACAGACCACGTTGGGGCTGTTGGAAGAAATGTCCATCTGGGTTCAGTTCCAAGTGAGGAAAAAGACATTGGATTCATGGAAGTTGCTTGGAAAGAAGGTTTATTGATGAACAGGATCCCATGCCTTGATCGAAGAAAAAAGGGAAGAGATGCTGAGAGTGCCTCAGTTTTATGCCCTTTTGGGGCTTTCAAACTTGAGCTTACTTATTTATTTTTATTTATTTAGTTTGTCAGACGCATACAAGAGAACAGATATAAATATAAACATGGACATGAACATAGGAAATGGGTATGAATAAATGGGGACACTAGACTGGGACGCAGGGGTGGGTTTCAACCGGTTCGCGGCGGTCCCTGCGAACTGGTTGGTTGCCGAACCCGGAAGTAAGTAACTTCCAGGAACGGCGAAGGGCGCGCCCGCCCGCCCGCGGTCCTTACCGTTTTTGACGAGTTCTGCGCTTCCACGCATGCGCAGGATGCATACAGCGCCTGCACGATCGTCCAGGAGCAGCTGGAGCGTCGCACAGACGCTAGTACGCATGCGTGCACCGCGGGCGTGCACGAGGACGCCGCCGGGCCCCGTTCCAACCGAACCGGTTGGAACGGGGCGAGAAACCCACCCCTGCTGGGACGGTAGGCACGCTGGTGTATTTATGCACCCCTCTTTTACGGATCTCTTAGGAAAGGGGTGAGATCCACACTAGGCAGCTTAAGGTTAAAGTCACAGGGGTTTGAGGATGTAAGAACAGAGTCGGGTAAAGCATTCCAGGCATTGACCACTTTGTTGCTCAAGTCATATTTTCTGCAATCAAGTTTGGAGCGGTTTATGTCAGACTCCCATGGGGGGGTAACTTTGTAGGTTGTGTTTTGAGTCCCAAGTTTGGTTGAGCCTTGCTGGCTGATGTAATCTGCCCAGGTGCCATTTGTTGCAAGATGGGTAGAGGGCTAATCCTACGTTTGTTGGATCTTGGGTGAGGGTATTTGCCTATGAATAGATCTAGCTATCTCTTAATCTCTTAAGTGCTTACATCTGCTGTGGGCTATTGGGGAGGGTGTGGGGGCTATTAAGAGTGAGTTGCTGCTGTCTAAAAACATGCTGCTCCATTTCTCATATAGGGAAATATAATATTCTGCCTTTTTAATATTTCCTAGAATATATCATTTTTCTAGGAGAGGGGTGGGTGCTAACGTCCTTCAGAACAAAAAACTTCCATTGCTAAGGAAGACACTTCTTTTGACAAGATTGTTAAGCAAATCATCCAGTTCCTAAATGAATCCTGCAGTTGTTAAGTGAACCAGCCTCCCCTCTAGACTCTGCTTCTTACAAGTGTTTGGCGAAGTTGCAAATGCGTGAATATATGACCGTGGGACCCTGCAGCCATTTAAATTCATACCAGTTGCCAAGTGCCTGAATTTTGAGAACAGTGGGGTTGCTGCAACTGTCGTTAAGTGTGAGGACTGGGTTGTAAGCCACCTTTTTCAGTGCTATTTTAACTTCAAATGGTCACTAAACAAAACGTTGTAAGTTGAGGGCTACCTGTAGCGAGGTGCTGAGACTTGTTCGTCAAACTGTAGTTTAAATCCAAGCCTAGTTATTACATCTGGAAAATTTATTCTGTTCCTTTGTTCTGTGCTGTGGTTATTGGCACAAACTAAAGAAAAATATTAAATAGATCCGCGTTTCTCAAACCTGTAAACTTTTAAGGCCTGTGGGTTTTAGCCTACCTCTCCCCCCACACTTCAAAGCAAGATCTCTGCCAGGAACAAAAGCGGTGCAAAACAATAAACAAACAATTAAAAAAACAACAACACTCCAAGCTCATCTTTCCTCTCCTTAAAAGCATTTTTCCCTTTCCTGTGTCCCCTTTTCCTCCCTTCTCTTTCTTCCTCTTTCCTTCCTTGTCGGGCCAGGTGGATTTTGTTTGTTAAATTTTTATTTAAAGTTTCCACCTAGTCCAAAGACTGATATAAAACATACCTCTCACACCCTCCAATTAAAATAACGGCGAGTGCAGGCAGCAAAACAGGGGGGGGGGGAGACAAAAGAGGGTGGGAGAAAAAGACTAACTTTTATTTAAAAATTATTCATCAGGGGGGGAAATATAAGCTCCTATGCTCTCTCTTTCAACAATTATCAGCAAACCCCCTTCCTCTCTTCAGCGTTGCAAAAATGCAGCTCCTCCTTCCATCCCCAAATCTAGAAATCGTATCCCCCAGCCCCCCAATTTTCAACCCCAAATCCAGGCCGTTTCCCAGCTCTCAAGGCACGTATTGTTCAGCCACGTGCGTTTTTTTTTTCCAAAGCCGCTTGGCTTTTCCTTTGCGGAGCCGTTTTAATCCCTCGGCGGCCCGGGGCTTGGCTTCCTCCCGCCCGCTCCCCCGCAGCCCATGGCCCGCCTGCCTCTCTCCCCGCGGCCAGTAGATGGGGTCCGCCGGCGTCGCTTGGCCTCGCACGCAGCTTGCCTTTTCCTTCCTGCCTGGTTCCTGCCTTCCTTCCTTCCTCCAGCCCGTAAAGATGGACCCGCGGTGCCTCTAACAAAAGACCCCGCCAAGCACCCAGCTTTCGCCGCCGCCACCGCTGCTACTGCTGCCGCTGCCGCCACCACTACTGCCGCCGCCGCCGCTCCTCTTCAGCTGCTGCTCGCCGGGGTTTGCACGTCTGCCGGGAAAGTGGGGTGCTTGGCGCGTCTGCGTCCCGCGGATCTCCTTTTGTCTCCGACCGCAGCGCCCCCACCCTCGCCCCCATGCCTTGCTGAGACGCTGCGAAGCCCACCCGGGGGGGCGGGTGGGGGAAGGATCCCCTGCCACACCATGGGCGCCCCCACCTTCCCCCCCGCCGCCGGAGAGGGGCTGGTCCGTCGCTAGGACCCTTCTCGGGCTGAGGATTGCATCACTTTCCCTGCCGGGGGAAGAAAAGTTGAGAGCACCCCAAGATCTGCCTCTCAAAGCACCTTTGGGCCTCTCTTTGCACCCTCTTTATTCCTCACACCTTGCAGATCCTGAACCCCTAAACTTTACCTCCACAGTTATCGGGGCATCCTTCTTCCAATCTGTTGCCCCCTCTTGCTCTGGGTTTAAAGGAGGTTTTTGGATCCCTTCAGATTTCATCATAACTTCCTCAAGGCTAACAGGGCCGGTTGCCAAGATAGCTGCTTTCTCTGCATCCCCCTTTTTATTGGGGCCGCTGCACCCCCCTTTTTGATTGTTGAGAAACTTTCCCCAAAGTTTCCCCCATGAGTTAAGGCTGTGTGGTTCAGGTGGCTACACCGCATCCTCATTTGAGGTTTTCCATCCTGTTGGAAGGGGATATTTTTGCAACTTCGGCCTTTTTGGGTCACAGTACCCCTTCTAATATTTTGTGGGGAGCGCCCCTCCCCCCAGCATTCCACACCTCACTAGAAAGGCAATAGACCTCATTCTCCAATTTGTGAAGTGCTCTTCCCAAACTTACTTCCATTTCTCTTGTTCTAGAGAGTGCCTCTCTTGCCTCTCGGCCTCTAATTGTAGCTTGTATTTCCTAACGTGTGGATAGGATTCCCCAATTTTTTTTAGGCCTCTTGATATTTCAATACAGCCCAGGATTTCCATCCTTATCTTGGTTATATTGAGAGAAAATCTGAGTGGTCTGTTCTCTATTTAATATTTTTTAAAAATTAACACCTATTAAGAGAAAGATGTTATACAACATTTCTGCTCTTTTCCTATAGATTGTCGAGTTGTCACGTCTATTCTTTAGTCATTCTCCTCTTTTTTGTTTAAGTACAATATTCCAAATTTTCCTGTGCACTCTGTCGAAAACGCACCTTCTTAGAAACTTCCCTGATGTCCCTCACATCAGAGATTTGGTTAGAGAATTGATTTCCATCTGTCACCCCCACTTTTAGCCAGGGTGTACACAGTCCCTAAAACAAACATATCAAACTATCCCAAAATATAATTTACCCTTTATTGTAAATTTAAAAAAAGCCAAGATACCTCTTTTCTTTTAAAGATTTTTTTTTAAACCTTACAGGGAAAAAAAAACAACTACTGTACTAGTATAAAAACACTCCTTTGCTGGAGCACACAATTTTGCATGTATTTATTTTGCTTGTGAGAATTGCCCTAATAAGCCAGGTATTTTCTGCTGAATAGTTCTCAAATCGCCCTTTTGCAAATCACGATTGAATTGAATTCCAGTGGGCTGTTTTGCTCCTCTTCCAATTGTCTTGTCTAAACCAGGGTCTCTAGTCTTCTGTCCTAATTTGTCTGATGGCTTTCCAAGACCCCAACCAGCCACTTCAAGCTCAGCTTTGTAGCAATGTTTTTGGGGCATTGACGGGGTTAATTCAGCCACCTTTAGCTGCAGGGCTAGGTGGGGGCCAGAAATATTATTGCAATAATGGGGTACAGATAGCTCCCCCCCAGCAACAGCAGACAACGCTTGGCAATGCTATGATGGTGGACCCAGAACCAGATCGACCCATCGGTTATGGTGCTTTTGGTGTGGTATGGTGAGTGCGGAGTTATTTACTGCCATATGACGGTAAAGGAAGATGAAGGTGGGTTAGGAAAAGGATTGGAAGTACAGGTATTTACGATCCCAATTCAGACCAGGATTTCCATTGCTAAGCAACAAGGTTGTTAAGTGAGTCACACCCAATTTCACAGGCTTTTTTCCCCTGGTTGTTAAGCGAATCACTGCAATTGTTAAATGAATCATGCAGTTGTTAAGCAAATCTGGTTTCTCCCATTGACTTTGCTTATGGGAAGCCATCCAGGAAGGTTGCACAGGATGATCACATGACTGGGATACCGCAACCATTGTAAATGCAGATTGGTTGCCAGGTGCCTGAAGTTTGATCACATGACGTTGAGGTGCTGCAACACTCATAAACGCGAGGATTAGTTATAAGTTACTTTTCAAACATTCCCTAAATAAATAGTTCTAAATCAAGGGCTACCTATAAATAATAATTTGGTGTTTAAAAATAATTTCTATTAAAGATATTTTTTTAGGATAAAAACAGTACATTTTACAGAAAAAATAGAGAAAAATAGTGCATTATAATAGAAAGGAAATGGGGGGGGGGAGGAAATAAGGGGGAAAATGTAAAATTGTTTTCCAATCTTCTTAAGAACATATCTTAAAATGTATTTAGCTTTTGCCCTCTTTCTGTTTCTACAATTACATTGTAAGTGCCTCTTTTCTCTAGTCCAGAGGTCTTCAAACTTACCAACTTTTAAATTTGTGGGCTTCAACTTTAACAGCATAGCTGGCTGGAGAATTCTGGGAATTGAAGTCCACAAGTCTTAAAAGTTGGCAAGTTAAGGGACCCCCTGCTCTAGTCTACCCTTTCTAATCACCAAAAGGTAAATTGCAAATGGAAAGCCATTTTTCTTCCTGCAGGTCTGTGACAGATCCTCGAGATGGGTCGCGAGTTGCACTCAAAAAGATGCCCAATGTTTTCCAGAACTTGGTCTCTTGCAAACGGGTCTTCAGAGAATTGAGAATGCTCTGTTACTTCAAGCATGACAATGTGAGTATGGGACAGTAGGCAGAGAGCTGCTTCGGGGCCAGAGATGGTCCTTCCATAGCGTCCTGGATTTGATTTCCTCAGATGAATGTGCATTGTGGAAATGTGTAGGCATATATTGATTTTTTTTCCCAATCTTTCTTGCTTCTTTTTAAATTTTAACTTTCCATATACTGTTTTTTACATTCCAATAATTGTACACAGCGAGGAAAATAGGCAGTTTCAAAATTGTGGGGTCCTTATTGTTCTCTGGGCTGGGTTGGGTTTTTTTGCAGACATTTCATTCTGAGATGGTACAAGGGTCTCGGGGAGAGGGGTCGGACTAAATGATCTCCAAGGTGCCTTCCAGAATCCTTATGATTCTAAAATTACTCAACTAGGTAACATCATCAGAATGCCCTGATAACAACTGATGAAGTTACCTAGTTGGGTAATGAAACAGCTGCAAGAAAGCAATCAAGCTGAGAGAACACCAAGCACCCACGCAGTTCAAGGGTGAGCTACAAATATTTTCGATTGGTTTCAACATTTGATTAAATAAATATAAAATGGTGACTCCAGGCAGATTATAGAGGAGAGGCAACAACAAGAGCAGTTGATCACACGTGTGGTAGCTCTGATCCAGAATAGGGTGGAATGATCAGGTGGATGGGATCCCTATCTCCACTCCAGAATGTTGGATTTCCGCAAGCTTCTTTATTGGGAAATTGACAGGAATGGAGAAGAAAAGACAAGAAGAAAAGCATTAGAGCGATACAATTTGGTGAGAAGCAGTAGAACCCTTGCAACCCAAACTCTGAATGGAGTAGGCCGGAGTTAATGGCGGCCTTGCTCCCTGGCACGAAGAAGCTGGTGAAGGGCAGTTTCACCTCAGGGACATTTGGAGGAGATGGGAACAAACTGATGGTGTGTAGGACAGAAGGAAGTTTGCAGAAGGGTCTTTTGCATTGACAGAGTCATTGCAGATGTGGGTGGCAGGGCCAGCCCTATTATTAGACAAACTAAGCAGGCTGTTGCTACCAGCTAAGTTTCAGTCCTGTTTCCGAGTAGCTACATTATTAGTGGCCTTTGTCCTATTTTTATTACTAGGAGGGGGGCGAGTGGTACATTAGGCTTGATAAGCCTGTCATGCCAAAACACCATATTGCAGTATAGCCGGTGGGTTCCATCACTAGTTTCTTGTCTGTGATGGCATACAGGTAGTCCTCAACTTATGGCCACAATTGAGCCCAAAATTTATGTTGTTAAGTGAGCTTTGCCCCATTTTACGACTTTGCTTGCCACATTTGTTAAGGGAATCATACAGATGCCAAATTAGTACCACAGTTGTTAAGTGAATCTGACTTCCCCGTTGACTTTGCTTGTCAGAAGGTTGCAAAAGGCGATCACATGATTCTGAGGCACTGCGGCCGTCATAAATATGAATCAGTTGTCAAGCATCCAAATGTAAATCACACAACCGTGGTGATGTTGCAAAGGTCGTAAGTGTGAAAAATGGTCACAAGTCACTTTTTTCAGTGATGTAACTTTGAAAGGTTACTAAATAAACTGTTGTAAGTCAAGGACTACCTTTATTTTCAGAATTTGGTTTCTTTTTCTCCTCAGGTCCTCTCAGCACTGGATATCCTCCAACCTCCACAGATTGACTGTTTTGAGGAAATGTATCCTTCATTCCACCTGTAGCTAAGTTATTTTATTATTATTATTTTGCCTGCTCTTCTGATGCTCCATTTTGTGCTATCTTTATCTTTCGTTGATTTTTCCCCCCTCTGTACATATTACATGTGAGGAGAGGAAGCGAAATATTTATTGGTTGTTCTTGCTTTTCTTAAATCTGGTTTGATTCTTTTTTTTTTTTTTTTGGCAGTATATTTGTGTTCTGTTTATTTTGATTTTCCTCTTCGCGCCTTTTAAAAATTTCCTCCATTTACCATATTGTTTTGCATCCTCCCCATTATTTTCTCATGCAACTGTTTAAAGTAGTTTTTTGAGATTGTCCTTGCCACTGTTCCTTGCCAAGTTTCTCAGCCGGCTTCAGCTATTTTCAAATGATCAAAGTTTATGTGGAATCCTCTCCTTCTTGCCCCAATTTGCATGCAAAATTTACTCACCTGAAAATGACTGAATCAATCACTAGCTTTGCTCCAATCTTTGGATTTTGAGGTCAACTGCAGCATAGTATTCAAGACAGGTTTTCTTATGAGATTGAGAATGCTAGGGGATCTGAATGCTCAATCCTCTAATCCAGATGTCCACAGCCTTTGGACGCTGAGAGGTACGGTTTCTATTTTAAGTCTTTCAATAGCTGACATAGATGGCTTTCGTTTATCCAAAGCTAAGCTGGGGAAGCTGCTCTCCATCATTCCTTCAAAACTCTGAAGAAGTTCTATACCAGCCTAAGTTCCTTTATTGTTTCTGGGCAGCTGAACTTGAAGTCTTCCTCCACTAGGAGTTTCTTGTGGTCTGGTGGGACCCAGATGTTTTCTTAGAAATTATGGTAGGACCTTTGTTCTGGAGTCTGCTAGCTTCCACTTTAAATTCTTTGGAGAGTTGAGTACATCAATCTAATAGAATATGAGATGGGCATGGAACGTGATGGATATTAAGGTCTGTGGGGTCTGGTGACTGAGATGGCAGGGTTCTTGCTGGAGACAATGGCTTTCTATCTATGAAGAGTAATGAGAATGGATGGTCAGGAATGGTGTGACAGTTAAATCCTTGGTATTTTTTGAGCTTGATTATTTGCTCAAAAGAGCACCACACTCTGTTTCCAAGCTCAGAGAGCATCAGTGATTCCATGATTCAGTTCTGAGCTACATATATTCTCTTCTAATGGTCTAATTGTTCCTTTCTCTTCTCTTTATATGTCAACGTTGCAGCACCTAGATAGGGTTATCATATCTTACGTGTAATCTTTCCAACTTCACTTCCTTCTCCTTTGCTATTTATTACTAAAAGCTGTGAGAGTATTTTTTTTAACCTCAGCGGTCAACAACACAATTGCATTTATTAAGTTTGTTGGTTGAACTTATATGTTGCCCATCCCATTAGCAAACAACTCTGGGTGGCTTAAAACATCAATGCTCACAGAAGCCACTGTATCAGATATCACTGCTTGCTTGGGTTTTTTTTTTTAAATTGTTAAGAATATTCTAATCTTTTCACAAATCCCCCATTAGAGCATGTGGTGAGATTGTCAAAATTTCATGAAATTTGAGTGGCATTTGTGGGCAGGAAATAACTCATCTTGAGATTGTGCAGTGGTGTCTAATACTAGAAAAAGATTTCTTACACTTATTGTATCTTCACTTTCGTCTTCTTTTATTTTCCTTGCAACTAACATAAAGAGTTTCCATACTGATTTTTAAAAATATTCTTAATAATAGTTACGTTTAGTCCATTCTCACGTGCATTTCTTATCTCAGTTATCTTGTGCATTGTTCTGTTTTGGAGATGCTTTTCATGTTCTACGGTTCTTTTTTATTTATGCCGGTCTTTTCTTACTTTGTGTCATCCAAAATTGATGGAAGCTGGCATCCCAGCCCATGTACGGGAGTATCAGGTTAGGGATGGCTGATCTGTATAATATTTTTATTTCTAATTTTTTTAGTTTTTTTTTTTAATCTTACTTTGTCCATGCGCTTTGTGCCTCCTAATTCTGTTGGAACCTGTTGGTTTTACAAAATGGTGGAAAAGTAATTTTTCTTTTTTACTTACTTACAATGGGAAGAGCTGGGTATTCAGATGATTTCCATTCTCTGCTCCATTCCCCATCACCCTCCTTGACAATAATCATCAGTTACGTTATCACTGAATTGATGCAAAGTGACCTTCACAAAGTCATAGTTTCTCCACAACCGCTCAGTTCCGATCATATCAAGGTCTTTTTGTATCAGATCCTCAGGGGTAAGTCTGACACTTATTTATGGCAAATGCCATAAATTGGGAACTATCCATTTGGGCAAAGTTCTTTACTTAGATTCAGTATGAATGTAGAAGAGAGGAACTATCTGACTTGGCAACCATATAACATGACAGGGATTGTAATCATTCATAAGAAGAATGTGAACAAGTAGGACAATGTCTATACAGAGTTGACTGATGCATAGCCTGTAATTGTAGAATCAACGATTCCAGGTTAGAAGATTCCATAACTCCATTGATGATAAAGTTGTGGGTGCCAGAACTTAATCAAGACTAGGAATAATTGAAGGGAATGAGAAGCGAGGGTGAGAATAATCAGAAGTATGGAAGATAAGTCTTATGAAGAATCAAAGAGAGTAAAGGGTATTCTACATTGTTTCAAAGGGGGGGGGATGGGACTGGATCTCAGGGGCTTCAAGTCCCACGAAGAAGATGATCCAATTCATTGATAGGATGCTATCTGTCTAATGCTTTGGCAGTTGAGTGGTTGGCCAAATGAAGTGCTTAGAGGAGTGTTGAGATCTTCCTTGTTGCATGTCTTTGAATTGGGATGGAGAGCCATGGGGGTGGACATTCAGCGGGGATTTGATGAGATGACCAAACAAGTTGTATTTCTGTTGTCCCTCCTGAAGGATCTCTTCCACATGTCCTCTTAACATTTTCTCCTCTCATGTTGACCCAATTTCTTAAGCCCCTTTCTCCTGCCCCTTTCCTTTGCTACCGTCCTTTTTAACTGTGTCCTGTTGTACTTCATTCACTTTAATAGTTTTCCTTGCCTTTTCCCTTCTTTTCTGACATTTCTGATAAAGTTGCAATTCCATAATATAAATCTGAGAAACTTACCATTGAAATTCACTGTTGTTGCATTATGGGCAGCAAAAGCTCTGAAGCAAAGAGCTTCTTTTCGGGATTTAAGAATCATGCATACGTAAGATTTAGCAGGCTCTTAGAAGAGGTAAGGAGTTTCCCTTTTAAAATTTTGTTACCGTATTTTTCGGAGTATAAGACGCACCCTTTTCCCTCAAAAAAGAGGGTGAAAATCTGGGTGCGTCTTATACACTGAATACAGCATTTTTGGCCTCCCGAAACCCCGCCCCCTTTGCAAAAATTGGCCATGCATAGCCTTTAGGAGGCTTCCAGAGTGCTCCTGGGGGCTGGGGAGGGCAGAAATGCTCCTTCAGCCCTCAGGAGCATTCTATAAGCCTCCTAAGGGCTTTGCATGTCCTATTTTTTGACAAAAAAGCAAAACAAAAATGGGCCATTTTTGGGAGGTCTGCAGAGTGCAAACCTTTTTTTTTTAAATTTGCCTCTTCAAAATCTTGATGCGCCTTGTACTCTGGTGCACCTTATACTCCAAAAAATACGGTAGTTATCAAATGCTAAGGAAATTTATTTAGACTCAAGCTTAACCCCAAGCTCACCACTTTGGCAATAGTATGGAACTTATATAAAAGTTTCTTTTTGAAAACTATGTTGACAATCATACCTAAATATCTATGGAGATTTTCACTCATCCAGATCATGGTTGTCCCAAAGGTGCTTTTTCAAGAGGCAACTGGACTTCCTTTGTTTTTCTTTGAAGACGTTTCGTTTCTCATCCCAGAAGCTTCCATTCTTTCTATTCCACATCCTTCCATTCACCGTTCATTCAGAACTGAAGAGGCTTCTTGGATTAGAAGCGAAACGTCTTCAAAGAAAAAAGTCCAGTTGCCTCTCAAAAAAAGCACCTTTGGGATACGTTGATCATGGAAGGAAACGTTTAATTTTAGTTTTAATTTTTATTGCATCTGTAGACTTCAGTTAAGTTTGGGAACACCCAATGTGTTTTCTTTCCCTCCTCGATTCTGCAGGGTTAAAATATTTGCACTCTGCTGGTGTCCTTCATCGGGACATCAAGCCTGGGAACCTTCTGGTCAATAGCAACTGTGTCCTCAAGGTAATTCATCCTTGTAGCCAACCCAGGGAGCATTCAAGATAGCCGCCTCCAAGGAAACTCTGACATCCAGCAGTTTTAGCTCTGACGACCAAAGATTAAATGTTTTCTCGCCCACCCTCCCACTCCAGTCACTGTGAATCACACTACTACACTAAGAATAGGGAGGTCGGGTGTATAAATATGTATATGGGTGTGACAAATCTATAAGATTTAAGGTGTAGTGTTGTGCTCAAAGCCATCAGTGGTGACACTGCCCACCATGCTGCAGTTTTCAACCCATATCTTCAATAATTCCCTGTCTCGTAGCCTTGCAGCTGATAAGGCCACAAAACTGCTATTTTTGATGTGACAAAAGAAGGAAATTATTAACCCTGCAAGGAAAGATCAAACAGGTTGTATTTAATTTAATGTGATGTGCTAGAATTTCAGATATAAAAATGTGTATTTGTGTATAGGTAGGCCTTGACCTAAGACTGCCTGCCTACTATGATCCTGTTGTGATGGTCATTTAATTGAGGCAGCCTTGTGATCTTGCTTAATGGTCCCACCTCTGATCTCCTTCATGTAGTCATTAAATGGGTTGGGAAGACTTTGGGAAACCTAGCGCAGGACAAGGCCCACCTACCCCAGCCTTGTAGGGCCTCCCTCACCTTCTGAGACACCCAATGCTCTGCTTCCTGCCCCTTGTTGTCTCCATAGGGCTTGGGCCTGGTTCCCCCACTCCTACCCAGGCCCTATAACCCCAACCCCCATTGTTCCTCACAAGCAGCGTGAAGTTCCCTTTTGCTGGGCAGAGAATTCTGGGAGTTGAAGTCCACACATCTTAAAAGTGGCCAGGGTTGTGAAACACTAGCCTAGATCCACCCACCCAGTTTGTATTTTAGACTGCACCTGAATTAACACCATTCAGTGGCATTGAAAGAATACTGATTCCCAGAAGGAGCAGCAGATAGTAGAGAGAGCTATGTCTGGAAGTTTTATTTCTCTAGAAGCTTACTCAGGTTGACCACACCTTTTCATCTTTCCTTCAGATCTGTGATTTTGGTTTGGCCCGGGTAGAGGAGCCGGATGAGTCCCAGCACATGACTCAAGAGGTGGTTACTCAATATTACCGGGCCCCCGAAATCCTGATGGGCAGCAGGCATTATGGACGTCCAATTGATATTTGGTCTGTGGGCTGCATTTTCGCTGAACTCCTTGGCAGGCGCATCCTCTTTCAGTCCCAGAGCCCAATTCAGCAGGTATCTGTTCGGACCCAGGCGTCCCCAAAAAGCATGAGGCAGAGTCCTGGTCCCGACAAAAACCCTTTTATTAAACGAATGTGAATTCTTCTCATTCACATTCAGCAAGGCCTGGCAAACAGTCTTTCAAAGGATATATTTATGGCTACAGACCTTATCTATCTTGGAAAGCTTCCATGTAAATATTTTCCCAATGAGGTGCTGTGCAAGGAAAGACTGGGCACAGAGTCTCTGAGATTCACGAATCTAACGACTGACTGAACGAATTGCTTCCTGCAAAAGCCCACTCCCCTTTCGCTCCTCTTTTATTTCCTATAGGAGGGGCTGATTCCTGTGGTAGTGGACAATCACCTTCCACCTGTGACTTTACTCCCAAGTCTACCCTGATTTTTGTGTTGTTCTTTTCTTCTGGCAGCTCTGCGCATGGGCACACTGGGAACAGGCCCTAGCTGTTCCTCTGCCTCCGAAAGCATCTGATCACTGCCAGACGGCCTCGCCCCAATCTCTGCCTCTGACGCAGAGCCCTCGTCCTAGCCTTCCCCAGCCTCCAGGGCTGGCCCATGCTCCTCCCCAATCTCCCCACTGTCCGACTCTGCTGCCAGCTCTGCTGGCGGGCCACAACAATATCTCAGTATTCCTTGAAGAAAGAGTTGCGAGAGGGTGTGGTTGCAGAAGGCATGAAAGAATGTTTCAGCTTATGATTCCACAAAATGTCCACTACTTAACACTGAAGAAGCAATTTACCTTTCTTCTTTTCTTTCTCTCTCCTCTCTCTCTCTGTTTCTTCTTCTCCTCTTCTTCCTTCGATCTATGGGTGGCAGTTGGACCTGATTACGGATCTTCTGGGGACTCCTCCCGTGGCTGCCCTCCGTTCGGCCTGCGAGGGGGCCCGTGCCCACATCCTGCGTGGCAGTCACAAGCTGGTGAGTACCACCAGGGCTGGCAAGGTAGCAGCCGCGTGGGAGCGAAAGAAGCCGCTTAACCACTTTGCATCTTTTTTTCCCCCCAGCCATCGTTGTCTGTCCTTTACATGCTCTCTGGAGAAGCAACCCACGAAGCTGTGCATTTGCTCTGCCGCATGTTGGTCTTTGATCCAGTGAGTTGGCAATGTAGTCCAAGGAAAACTTTAGAACCCAATCAGATTGTCTCTTTTTCCCCATCTCTTCTTTCTCTCACACACATATTCATCTCACTGTTGTTGTTCTGGTTGTTAGGGGCATACAGTGAAGACACCAGATATGCTAGATCCGTGATGGCGAACATATGGTATGCATGCCACAGGTGGCACGCGGAGCCATTCTTGAGAGCAGGCGAGGCATTGCTGTGTCAGCTCCAGTGCGCGTGCGCTAGCCAGCTGATTTTTGGCTGTTTTTCACCCTCCGGAGGTGTTGATGAAGCCTTCGGAGGGTGAAAAACCACCTAACACGCAAACCGGAAGTTTGGGAATGGACTTCTGGTTTGCATGTTGGGCTGTTTTTCATCCTCGAGACACTTCAGGGAAGCCGCCTGAAGCTTCCGAAGGGCGAAAAACCACCCAATGCACAAACCGGAAGTTCGGGAATGGACTTCTGGTTTGCATGTTGGGCTGTTTTTCATCCTCGAGACACTTCAGGGAAGCCGCCTGAAGCTTCCGAAGGGCGAAAAACCACCCAATGCACAAACCGGAAGTCTATCCCCCAACTTCTGCTTTGCGCATTGGGCGATTTTTTGCCCTCCCCTGCTCCTAGAAAGCCTCTGGAGCCTAGGGAGGGTGAAAAACAGACCTGCCGACCTCACCGGAAGTCAGAAAATGGGTCGTTTCCAGCTTCCAGGGAGGTGGGGGAGGCCCACCCCAGATTCCAAGAAAGCCCTGTGTGCGTGCACGGGGCAGCAATGTGTGTGTGTGTCATATGCGCATGCACAAGGGGCACGGCGCGGGGGGCATTAAATTAAGGGGGTGGGCATGAAAGCGTGCGCGATAGCACACACATGTTACTTTTGCCGTCCGAGGTGAAAAAGGTTCGCTCTCACTGTGCTAGATGGTAGAAACAGTATACAGGCAATCCTTGATTTACAGCAGTTCATTTACTGACTGTTTAAAGTTATATAACAGCACTGAAAAAAATGGGACAGGGCTGTTTTCTACACTTGGGACCATTGCATTGTCACATGATCAAAATTCAGACTTAAGGAATGCTCTACTGCGGGTCCGGGAAAAATATCAATATAAACTAAATGATAAGATACCTATGTGGGCAATTCCTAGACATGCAATAGAGAACGTAAATATAGTACAAAAACAGGATGTAAATACATACAGACAGCTTCTCACCTTAGAAAGAGGTGTATTACAATTAAAACCCTTGAATGTACTAAAAGAAGAAAAGGTAATTCAAATATGGTTCCAGTATGGGCAATTACAGGCCAGATGGAAAAAAGATCAAAAAATTGGTTTTATGCAAACTGAGGATAATTTACTAAAACAAATTAGGGATCAAAGTCAAATGCATATAAAGAGACTATATAATGTATTAATAGAATGGGTCATAAAATGGGGCAAAATTCACTTAACAAATGTGTCACTTATCCACAGAAATGTTGGATTCAATTGTGGTGATAAGTCGAAAACTACCTGTACATTCAGTCCTCATTTAGTGACATTCTCAGCAACCATTTGCCAATATGATAGTATTAAAAATTTCAGACCATCACACGCATTTATGATCAAAGTTTGCGTGCCTTAGGCTAGCATACACTGAAATGAGAGTAACACTGGCTGTCTCTCTCTTTATAAACCTTAAAAAAAATACTTCCTTTTAATCCCCCCAGTTCCTTTCTGATTTGCTCCCTTTTCAGATTTGTTCTTGACATTTTTCCAAGAAAATATGGTCACTGTCCTTACAGGCTACTTCTATCTGTCAACTCTGAGCAACATACTACTCTCCCAAATGTGATTAGGGTTAAAAACATTTAATCAATCTTGAATTTATTATAAAGTTATAATCAGATGTGATTATTACATGATGGAAGCCAGCCATATGCCTGGTTCCCTTAGCCATTTTAAAAATTATTTATTTATTTATTAAATTTATATACCAGCCATCTCACTATCCAAAGCAACTCTTGGCGGCATATAAATTTAATTTTAAAAAAATACGATTTTATGGGGGAGTGAATAGAGTTATAATCAGCGTCTTGCTGAAGGAATGTTTTCTCTCATCTTGCTCTACTGTAAGACAGAAGCCAAAAAAAGACATCATGGCTTAAGAGAATAAGCCAACAATTCTTATTTATACATATTGCTAGCAAATCATGGATGGAACCATCTGCATGTTTTTGGCTACCCTCACAGACAAGAATAGGGAGCAATGAAAAAGACACCTTCCTGTGCAAAACCAGGCATTGGATTGAGATTTCATAACTGGTTGACCCTATTATATTCCTTGCACACAGCTGGTTATTTCCATTCTTTTAGAGAGTCGTTGAGGCGACTTGGAAGGGTCTCCCTTAGTAGTGCTAATGGTTCCTGTAGTCTGCAATTTTTCTGGAAATCTGTTCATACTCCCACACTATTTGATTACTCAGGTGACTCTGAGGACAGAGATAAACCACCAAGTGCTTCAGATGACCCTCAAAAAGGATGCAAATGACTAGCTGTCTGCAAGGAATATAAATCCTTCCATTCCCCACTATGCTGTCAGAGCTCAAGTAGCTTCTTGGATGAGAAGCAAAACATCTTCAAAGAAAAACAAGAAAGTCCAGTTGTCTCCTGAAAAAAAGCATCTTTTGGACAACTATTATCTGGATGACTGAGAATCTCTACAAACCTTTGGGACCAGTCGCTTAGCAACCATTCAAAGCTATGACCTACCAGAAAAAGGGGATTTATGACCCAGATCTGAAATTCCGACTGTTCCTCACTACCATCACAGTCATGTGATTGCAGTTTGGGCACTCAGCAACATGGCCATGTTTACCACCCGGTTTGCATTGTCCCATGGTCACGTGACTGCACGTTACGATCGTTTGATTAAAAAAAAAAAAAAACCACACTTGCTTTCAGCCATGCCATAAAGAACAATGGATTCACTCAGCAATCATGGTGTTAACTTAATAACAGCCACAAAAAGTTGTAAACGCAGGCTGGTCATGTGATTGGCCCATTTTACAACCCTTAAGACGACTGTAATAGGAAGGCTCCAATAGCAGTCATAACTCGAGGACTACCTGTATACAAGAATTCTTTTAGCGGGACCTTTTGGGTGATCCTCACTGTCCTTCCTTCCGCAGGCCAAGCGGATCTCTGCCAAGGATGCCCTTTCTCATCCTTACTTAGACGAGGGGCGACTGAGATACCACACCTGTATGTGCACTTGCTGCTTTTCGGTCTCCTCCGGCCGCATTTACACCAGTGACTTTGAACCCCGGGCCGACCCCAAATTTGACGGCTCTTACGAAAAGAACCTCGCTTCGGTCTGGCAGGTTAAAGGTAATAGATTGAGTCCAAACCTCCTCACAAATCTTGAGCTTTTCAGAAAGGTTCATTCTTAACGTAGTGGTGTTTAGAATGCAACATTGCAAACTAATTCTGCTGACTGTCAGCAGTTCGATCCTGACTGGCTCAGGCGTCCATCCTTCCGAGGCGGGTAAAATGAGGACCCATGTTGTTGGGGAGGTAATATACGGATACTGTAAACTGCTTAGAAAGGGCTGTAAAGCACTATGAAATGGTACATGAGTAGCTTCTATTGCTATTCCCAGTTGCTAATTTAGAAGCTAAATATTGATCTTAACGCGCTATGTTACGTACATGAGGGCAATTAATGCACAAAATTCTTCCATGAATTGCACCAGACTTTGAAATTTAAACCTTTGATCTGATTTGTTTTGGATTGTCTCAGTTCTCCATCCTCTGTGTATCATCTTATATAATTAGGGAGAAGTCAAAAGGTTAACCCATTGTTTCATTCTAAGAAGCACATCCCTTTTGGGTTGCTAAATCCTCCAATTCCCCTGTGCAATCACGTAGCACTATTGGCATTTATTGATTCTGGAAGAGGAAGATATCTCTAAACAGGTGATGAAGATTTTGCAGTAGTAGGGATTTTATCCGAATCTGCAGGTGAAGTTATAACTGTACACGGAGCAAGTCCCTTGAATGGCAAGCTGTCCGGATGTTGTGATTCACTGTTGCTACCCTGTTTCCCTGAAAATAAGAACTCCCCGGATAATAAGCCCAATTGGGGGGGTTTGAGCGCATGCACTAAAATAAACCCTCCCCTGAAAATAAGCCCTCCTCAAAAAAGATTGCAACACAGCAGCAGCTATGAGGTGACCCTGCTCGCCCCCTCCTGCACCTCAGAAATAAGGCCAAGAAGGTAAGGCCAAGCGTTTACTTCGGGGTCAAAAGAAAATAAGACCCTGTCTTATTTTCTAGGAAACACGTCATTATCCCAAATTGTTGTGATGGCTTAGGCTTACCTGAGTTAGGAGAGGCAGAATGAAAGTACATAGAAAAATAGAGAAGAAAAGAGAGACGTACATTATGTAAATGTAGGACTACAGATTTGGGCCGCAAAAATTGGGATTTTTGTGGCCCTGATGTTGACCAAATAAAAATGAACTCTTTGTTTTTCAGAGCTGGTGCACAGGTTCATCTTGGAACAGCAGCATGGGAAAAGAGTCCCCCTCTGTATCAACCCCCAGTCAGCTGCCTTCAAAACTTTCATCCGGTAAGTCTCCGAATTTGGTGGCTCCCCCTAACTAGAAAGTTTGTGGTTCTGTCTTTACAGAAGGAGAAAGAGCAGATAATACAGGCACTAAACAGTTTGTTTAGTGACCATTCAAAGTTACAACAGCACTGAAAAAATGTGACTTGTGGGCCGTTTTTCATAGTTATGACCTTTGCCGATTCCTTTGATCACGTGATCAAAATTCAGCTGCTTGGCAACTGGCTCATATTTATGACGGTTGCTGTGTCGCAAGGTCATGTGATCACCTTTTGCGACTTTTTAACCAATGCGGAAACCAGATTCACTCAACAACCAGCTTGAATAACTTGTCAACTGCAACGGTTCACTTAAACAGCTGCGGCAAGAAAGGTTGTAAAATGGGGTGAAGCTCACTTTAACAAATGTCTCATCAGCAGAAATTTGGGGCTCAATTGTGGCCGTAAGTCAAGGACTGCCTGTCATTTTTTTTTTAAAAAAAATTTTTTTTCTTCCTTCCTACCTGGCAGCTCCACAGCATGGCATTCTTCCAAGGTGTCCAAAAAGGAAGAAAGATGAAGCTGCTCCTTGGATGACCATGATGGAAAAAAGAAAAGAAATACAGAATAAGAGGGACGGAAGACACAAGGGGTTGGCATTGCTGCTGGTAGCCAAGGGATGAAAAGGAGACCGAGGCACTGCTCTTCATCCTGCACTCTTGAATATTTTGACTCATGGACAGATGCATTTGGGAAAGAGGGAGGGGGAGGTCACTATTATATCACTGGTATTTGGAAGTGGACAAGTTGGGGAAGGGGATTTCCCCCCCCCCCCCACTGATGGATGTTTTTTTCCCTTTCCTCTGTTCCTGTACTGCACTGGAAAACTCTGGGTTGTAGGCACTGTCTTTGTGAATTCTTTCCCTCCTTCCTCTAGGTCTGCACCAATATTTTCCCCCCTCCTTATACATATGGGCTCTTACCTGGCTTCCTCTGAAAAGGGATGACCAGGAGAGAAGTTTGTTCTTGAAATGAGGGGTTGTCTGTTCTTTCTGTTTCAAAGAATCTCGCCCTACCTAAAGACTCTGACTGGTGTTTCTCAGCATTGCCCATTTTAAGAGGTCTGGATTTCAACTCCTAGAATTCCCCAGCCAGTGTGGCTGGCTAAGGTTAAGAAACACTGCCTTAGACTTAGGATAGATGTCTTTTCCCACAGATCCCCTTCCCGTTAAAAGATTTCCCTAATGGGGATAGATGGGAGAAATAAATAAGGCTCGATTTTCTGAATCTACCACATGGTTCAGGCATTTCTTGCAAACAGGAGTTGCGTCTTGAGTCCTTGTCTTTAGTCTCTTCCAGGAGCTTCTGGGAAATCATGTGGCTTCCTTAAACCTATCTTACACAGCTGGGGGAAAAAAACCTACACAACTTATTTTGGGATAAGATGCTAAATATTTATTTGGTGTGTATATTTGGCCTACCTTCTTTCCAGGTTTCCCTTATTCCCAGCATGGACACCTCCTAAGCGGTTGGAGACCCTGACGCGTTTCTGCTGTATTTTCAGAAAATGCTTCTTTTCTTTAAAAATATGTGGTGTTTTCTGAAAAACAGGTTTTGGTCTTGATGCTGGATGTGGAATGCCTGTTAAGTTATCCCCCCGGGCCCTTCACCTTTCCTGCCTGCAGCCAGCTCAGCCTCCTTCCTTGATTCAATGTATTCCTCCATTGATTTCCACCACCTCCCTTCAAAAATCTACCTCTTTTCTCCTAATGGGTTTCCTGTGTGCATGTGTTTGGGACACTTGTATTATTAATTTTGTATTTTTATTTTGTTGGTGGTTGATGATTTATTTTCACTTGGCTGGTGTTTCATCTCTTTTTGTCAATGACCTGTTATTAATTTATGATCAGAGCAGTTTATATACTAGTTTAAATCCCGAATGTGTGCATATATTTCTTCCTTGTGTCTAGAAAAAAAAAACGCATGGGGTGGGGGGGAAACACCAATAACATAGAACCAATAACCTGGAAACTTGAACTGTCTTTGGCTGTAATAATCCCCCTCCTTAATTTAATTGTGCTCCATAGTAGCTGAATTAAATTTATGCTGTATATTTTTCTCCTGTAGTGGGTTTGGTTTGTCTCCTAGTCTTTTTTTCTTGCGCTTTCGACGGGACGAGTTGTTCTCACTGCTGAGCAGGGGGCCAAGCTGTCACCTGAGTTAAAAGATAAGTCTGATAGGAGGAAGTTTTTTGCTCTCAGCTGACAACTCCGAATGGGTGCGCCCAGGAAGTGATGTGACTCACCATGTATCCCACATCCTTTCCTCCACTGTTGTCAAAGGCAAGTCAAGGGTATATTTCGCTCTTTGGAGGCCAAAACGCTTGAATATTGAAGACAGAGAAATCCAGCACAACTTCCAACAACCGAGGTTAGACTTTTTTTTCACCTCCCCTTCTTCCAACTTCTCCTTTTGCCTCCCTTTCTTCCACCACCACCCCTCCCTTAAGTGTAGCCCCTTCTCCCGTGACTGAACTGAAAGCAAACTTCACATTTCTCCCCTGGTATCCTATGGGTGGGCTGGCATTACGACTTCAGACTTCTCCGATATCATCTGAAGGGAAAGTAGCATAACTTTACAGAGAAGCAAACAGAGAGGGCTAACTGAGAGCCTGTCTTAATGTTTCTCTTTTGGACTTGTATTGTTATGGTGATTAATCCCACCTTTCCTTTGAAAAACACTTCATTTAGCCTTGTTTGATAAATTAAGGAAAATCCACTTTATCCAAGGCTATTTGGGGATGGGCCTTCCTAACTATTTTTCAGTTTTTTAATGCTATCATGGCAAATTTGAACCTAAAATAATATGGGAAAAAATACTACAACTTCTTCAAACTTGTGTTGTTCAGATACTTTGGCCTACATATCCCTGGTGTAGAGTACAGCTATACAGAAACTTGGAGTTGATCTCAACAAGTGCTTTGGAGAACTTTAGCAGACACCAATGCTTGTCTGCAACTCTTTAAAGCAGCCGTGTCTTCTCTTAAGATCTTACAACTGCCCACTGAGGCTGATATGACATTCCAGGAAAAGATACAGCTGCTTTAAAGAGTTGTGGACATGTGCTATATTTAGTATATACATCCAAAGTACCATGTTTCCCCGGAAGTAAGACAAGGTCTTATTTTCTTTTGACCCCCGAAATACGGCCTTGGCCTTATTATTGGGGGAGGGGGCTTATTACTTTGGAGCCAGGCTCTTTGGGAGCCTGTTCGCAAGACAGCAGCCACCTGGCAACCCCCTCCCCAGCTGGGCAGAGCGCCACTCACTGACCCAGCGGTATCCCGAAGGTGCCAAACTGTGCAAGTGCCACCCCCCCCCCTTCGCTCGCATGGCTTGGCGCCATCAGGATACCACTGGGTCGGTGAGTGGCGCTTTGCCTGGCCGGGAGGGGGGGGGAGTTGTCTACTGAGCTTATTTTGGGGGAAGGGCATATATTTTTGCCTGCCCCAAAAATCTGGCATGGTCTTATTTTCAGGACATATCATATTTTGGGGGAAACACAGTAACACAGGGCCCTAGTATTGAAATAGTACAAACTAGAGCAAACTGTCCTGGGAGAAGATACAATCAGGGCTTGGAAGAACTGTAAAAATGATTGGGATTTGCAAGGCAGAGTTCTTGTTGTATTTTAGCCTTTCTTAGTCATGTCTCTTTCAAATATATTTAGGCTGCAATTCACAAACTTCTAGCCGATGATAATTATAACAGCTAAGTATTTGGTGATCTCAACCTACACATCTGGAGAGCGCCAGGTTAGTACTGGTATAAGCCATTGCACTTAAGGGAGTTTTGTTGGGCGGTTTTGTTATGAGCTGTTTTTGAGTTGTTAGGCTAAGTTTGCACAACTCTTACATCCTTCAGTTGCGTCAAACATTGCTAGCTCTTAAATGCAGTTCTCTGACTCATCTCCTCCCATTTTCTTCTCCATCCAGATTTTTTTCTTTTTTCTAACAAAAGTAATATCGGCTCCAGATGGGCCCATTTTGATCAGGCTTGGTTCTTGTCTGTCCGCTGTCATGTTGGGTCTCCCAACAAGTGTTGAGATGCTGCCTCCATCCACTGCCTCCCCGCTAAGCGATTGTGGTAACTGCTTGCTGATCATGGTAAGCCTGGCTGCCGTCGCAGCTGTGTTCATCGTGGCCTCAGCCGTCCTCTGCGAGCGGGTTTTCAAAGGGTCCCTGCCCCAAGAAACAGGAGCTGTGCCGACCGTGTGGAGACAAGGAGGGACGCTGTGGATTGAGCCCCCACACAATAATAGAGACCCAGATGTCCTCTCAAGACCGTCATCTACAGTCCCACTTTGGATTCAGCGTTCGAATGACTGGTTTCTGGATGTTTCTCCTGCAGGACCAGAGAGCTACGGTTCCACTGAGCTCTCTGACAGAGGGAGCCCCAGTCCCAGCAGCACTAGCCCTCTCTGGAACCCCAGCGAGCCACCCTGGGCGATCCAGCCACACGTAACTCTCCCAGATATAGATAATTTCTTCCGACAGAATAGCCGTGTTACTTATAGTTCTCAGCACTTGGTTTAATTGAGGGCATCTAAGGGCAAAAAGGCCCCGATATTCTTTTCTCTCGAATCCAAGTTTCAAAGATCTGAGACTAGCTTATCTGATGGCTGATCAACAATATCTTCTACCTTGTTTCTCCGAAAATTAGACCTCCCTGGGTAATAAGCTTAATCATGCTTTTGAGCGCATGCGCTAAAATAAGCCCTCACCGAAAATATTGCAACACAGCAGTAGCCATGAGGTGACCAAACATACCGCCACCTGCACCTCAAAAATAATAAGATCTCCCCAAAAGTAAGGCCAAGTGTTTATTTCGGAGGTCGAAAGAAAATAAGTCCCTGTCTTATTTTCGGGGAAACTCGGTACTTCAACATATACAAAAAATTCTTTGATATGAATGAGTGAGAAAACACAAATGTTGTTCCCCCAGGAGATTTCCCGATTTAGGAGCAAAGGAGGAGAATGGAAAGCGGGTCTAATGGTGGCTCGCGGGCTGGATGTGTCACACGTAGGCCATGCCCACCCCAGCTCCACAAAGGGACAAAAAAAATAATAATCATGATATGTCACATGATGGGAATGTGATGCGGCGAGTTTTACACCCGTATTCTAGATCAGGGGTCTCCAATCTTGGCAAATTTAAGACTTGTGGACTTCAACAATGGGAGTTGAAGTCCACAAGTCTTAAAAGTTGCCAAGGTTGGAGACCCTGATCTAGATCATTGTCAACCTGATGACGGGGGCAAGTATTTAAAGGCTGGGATGAAAGGAAACCAAAACTGGAGTTTTGGAACTAGAGATGGTAAATCATAAAGACAAGGAAACTGATACAATAGTCCTTGACTTAGACCCACTTAGGACCACTGTTGAGCCCCAAAATTCCATTGTTAAACGAGATTGTTGTTAAGTGTGTTTTACTCCATTTCTTGCCACTCGTGAACTAAATCGCTTCAGTTGTCAAGTTAGTAAGAGGGCTGCTGAATGGCTTCCCCATGGAGTTTGCTTGTTAGAAGTTCACAAAAAGTGATCACGTGACAGCGGGACACGGTTGCCAAGCATCTGAATTTTGATCATGTGACCACAGGGAGGCCGCAATGGTCGTAAGTGTGAAAAATAGCCATGAATCACTTTTTTTCCAGTGCCGTTGTAACTTCAGGCACTAAATGAATGGTTGTAAGTCAAGGACTGCACTGTAACTTTATATTAATTATAGATACTTCTCAACTTATAAACAATCCTAGACTTATGAAAAGTCACTTAGCGACCATGAAAAGTTATGACCTTCAGTACTTCTGACTTGTTCCAAGTTCTGACAGCCGCCTCCTTCCTCCCCTCCATGGTTTGCGTCAACAACTGTCCCACCTTTATGGCCATTTGCAATATCCCACAGTCATGTGAATGTGTTTTACGACGTTTTTGTTAAAAACCAAAATGTAGCAAGCAGCAGCCATTTATTCACCTCTGCACTTGCTTTAGCACTGTGACAAAAAAGTATCCTAAAATCAGGTCCATTATGGTCATAAATCTAGGACTACAGGTAGTCCTCTACTTACAACAATTCGTTTATGACCCTTTGAAGTTACAAGGGCACTGAGAAAAGTGACTTATAATCATTGTTCACGTTTGCAACTTTTGCAGCACCCCCAAAGTCACATGATCAAAATTCAGACTCACGTTGGCAACTGACTATGTTTATGACGGTTGGGGTGTCCTGGGGTCATGTGATCATCTACATGTGACCTGACAAGCAAAGTCAATAGAAAACCCAGATTGACTTAACAGAAAAGTCGTGAAATGGAGCAAAAACGCCTTTATCAAATTTTTCACCTAGCAACATACATTTTGGGCTCAGTTGTGGTTGTAAATTGAGGATTACTTGTACCTGTATCCCCCTTTATATATATATATTTTCATTTTCTCCTGTAGTGGTTACTGATTGTTCTCCGCAGTGACTGATCAGGTTCACCTCCATGGCCTTTGAGATGCCTTAATGAAGACCTTATATTTTCCTGGTCTAAGGTGGAATAGGGATATTTTAGAACTGCCTGTTCCTAAGGACAAAGGGTATGAATGTTATTTTATCTAATTTTGCATGTCTGGAGCAAGGCACCAGAACTATGTTCCAAATTTCCCATCCTTTAACCTTTATAGTTCAAAGGAGTGAGCTGCAATTCTTAAAAGGATGAATGTTACAGAAATATCTACCTGAAAAGGCAAACACGATTAAAAAAAAAAAACAACAGTAAAAAGTGAGCCAAATGCATCACACTGGGAAAAATTATATGGAAAAACTATTCACCCAAAACAGTTGGCACCATTTGAAGGAAAACTGATGTATGCTCTTGATTTCTCTAACTTTCTGCTTTTGACCCTCATGGCTGATTTGTGTGATTGGCCCACCACCACACAAGAAGGGGCGCGGGTGAAGCGCTCCAGGGGTGGGCCTCAAAATTTTTAGCAAGGAGTTCTCTGCCCAGTTGCTGGGTGGGTGTGGCCATGGTGGGCTCCTGCACCACAGTGGTGGTAGTGGGTGTTTTCCTGGGCTCCGGAAGCTTTCCTCGATCCTCTGGGAGCGCAAAAATGGCCTCCCAAGGCTCCAGAGGCCCTCTGAACTTCCAGTAGGCCGGCTTTTCACCTTCTCTGAGCCTCCGTGTGCACCCTGCACTTACCTGCATTCAAATAGGCCGCATGGAGACTCCTGGGAGGGGCAGGGCGGGTGGGGCCAGCCTGAAGAGGGATCTGGGGGTTGTCCGAACTGCACAGAATCTTAGCTAGAGATTCTCCCGAATTCCCGCTAACTCCCAGCAACCCTGAAGAGCTCCGTTTATGGAAGATGGCAATATCGCTCGGATGTCATTTGAAGGACGACAGAACCACAGGCTCCAGTGCCAAAGGCATCGTCCCATTCGTTGTACTGCCAAGTCGTTAACATCATGTTTATTTTTATGGGTTCTTGTTTTACTGTTAGAATAATGTTAGTATGATTACTTATTCTGGATACCTTGCAGTAACAGCAAAGAATAAGGACAGTTGCCTGTAACCAAGACATTGATAAACTACCTCCCCAAAACCTTGGTGTTCTTTTGTGGTCTTGAGTCATGCGTAGCTCTGAAGAGAGGAGGGAAACCGTACAGAAAGGCCTGCACCATCTTGAGATCAGTCGGAAATGTGAAATCAACCTGGAGAGCTGAGTCATTAACCATTAAAACGCTTTTTGCATCACACTCCTTGCTTTTCTGCATGAACTGAATCAAACCCACTGTGGCCCAAAACAGCTGCCCAAATGCAGAAGAACAGTACAAACTCGAGTGTTAACACCGGCAAATGTGTGGCACTTCAGAGGCTCCTGATGCAGACCTCCCAGCTACTCTAGGAGTTGTGCACGTAATCCTCGACTTATAACAGTTCGTTTAGTGACCTTAATTCAGTGAAAAATGTGAATTACGAACGTTTTTCACAGTTGCAACCATTGCAGCATCCCCATGGGTTGCGTGATCAAAATTCAGAAGCTTGGCAGGAAACTGGTTCATATTTATGGCAGTGGCAGTGTCCCAGGGTCATGTGATCATCTTTTGCGACCTGACAGCAAAGTCAGTGGGGAAGCCAAATTCACTTAACAATCAGGTTACTAATTTATGAACTGCAAGTGATTCACTTAACTACTGTGGCAAGAAAAATCGTAAAGTAGGGCAGAACTCAGTTAACAGATATCTCACTTAACAACAGAAATGTTGCACTCAATTGTGGTTATAAGTCAATGATTACCTGTATAGACTTACCTGTATACTATTTGCAAGCAGTGCAAATCCATTCCCTACCATCCAGTCAGATCACCTTCAAAGAAAAACCAGAAAGTCCAGTTGCCTCTTGAAAAAGAAGGGACTTTGGGACTACCTGTATATCATCTTCGCTACATTTAAGGTGGCAAGAATTTTGTTTCGTTAACTTGGGTCATCAGTTTTTTATCTTGGCACCTTTGCTCTTTACTACTTAAATTGGCCTGTAGATGTTTGCTTATTTGTTTAATAGGCTTAAATTCCCCCAATCACTGTCAGCTCTGAGCAATTAATGCAGTGGTGGGTTGCGGCTCCCATTGCAACCAGTACGCTGCAACGGGAGCCGGGTGTGCACCATGGGCATGCACGCTGCACATACATGTGCACCCACCCCCGGTGACACTCCAGATGCTCGGTGGAGTGTTGCACAGGCGCTGTACTCTGGGTGTATGTGCGCAGATGGCCCGTTTCCTTCAAATACAGGTAAGGTACGAGAGTGGGCGGCCGCTCCAAAGCACCATTCCAGTACAGTGGCTGCTGCTTCTGGCAGGAACTGGTACGTGCGTACCGGGGCGTACCGCCTTTACCCACCACTGAATTAATGGTACATACCAGGGGTCTATCCACTTACTTTCCCTACCTGTTCGCAAATGAGAGCATGTGTGGCTTGCACGCATGTGCATGGCTTGAAAACATGCCTAAATAGGACGGCATAGAGCCTCTGATACATACCCAACCTCCATATATAAGATTAAAAGTATACAGGTAGTTCTCACTTAACAACTCACTTTCAGTTAGTGACCAAAGTTACAATGGACCCTGGTTCCAGAGCTCTTGGCAACCAGCTCACTTTTATAGCTACTTGCAGAGTTCCGCAGTCATATAACTATTTTTGGCACTTTTCTTGCCAGTCTCTGGCAAAAAGCATCCATGGGAATACATTGATTCACTTAATAACCACAATGTTCACTCAATGGCCTGTCATCCACTTAATGACCGCTGGGGGAAAAAAAGGAATAAAGTCAGGTACAGTCATGTGAGTGCCTTGACTTATGTTGATCATGAGTTAACAATGGACTTCTGGGCTCCATGGTGAGTTCTGGACTGCCTGTACGGAACATGAGAAATTATCAGAAGGATATATATATAGTTCATCTCTTCAGAAGAAGAGTGAGATGCAGATGTTACAAGTGTCATGTGTATAAATAGGGGGGGGGGTTACAAGTCTTCCCTCATCCACCCGCCATATCCCCTATTTTTACATCCTATGTGGTGGTTTCAAACAGGTACTCTTACAACTGGTTTCAACCTATATGGGATTTATCAGACACAGTTAGATAGATGTTAGTCAATTGGGTTCAAACTTCTATGGGGAACTGAATTCGTGGACCTTGGCAATTTAGAGCAGGGGTCTCCAACCTTGGAAACTTTAAGCCTGGTGGACTTCAACTTCAAAGTCCACCA